GCATCAAAACCTCTTTACTTTCAGTAAGTTGGGTTATACGCATTTCTCAGGTTGTTAGTGAGTCTTCCTCAAGCCCTGATGGTGCATTTTTCTTCATACATTGCAATTTCTCAGATTATCTGCTCAGCATACAGATTAAATAAATATGTATAAGGATCCAATCCCGATGTGCATCTTTCCTGATTTAAAACCATGTTGAATCCCCTTGTTCTGATTGAACAACTGCCTTTGGGTCTATATACCAGTTCCTCATGAGCACAACTAAGTGTTCTGGAATCCCCATTCTAGGCAACGTTATGCATAATTTGTTCATACAGTCAAATGCCTTTGCACAGTCAACAAAATAAAGGTAAACATCTTTCCGGTATTCTCTGCTCTCAATCAAATTTCATCTGGCATCAACAAAATCCTTCATTCCATATCATATTATAAATCTGACTTAATTTCTGGCCGTTCCCTATCCATGTAGTGCTGTTTCTTTTGAATTATCTTTGGTATAGTTTTACTTGCATGTGATTTAAATGAGATTGTTAGATAATGCCAGAGTCCATTGGATTACCTTTCCTTGGAAAAGGCATGTATATGGATCTCTTCCAGTTGCCTGGCCAGGTTAACTGTCCTCATCTTTCTTGGTATAAACAAGTAATCACTTTCAGGGTTGCATCTACTTGTTGAAACATTTCAGTTGGTATTCCATCAATTCTTGAATCTTGTGTTTTGCCAATACTTTCAGTGCAGCTTGGATTTCTTTCTTTAATATCAGTTGGTTCTCGATCATATGCTTATTCTTTAAATGGATGAATGTTGACTAATTCTTTTGATACAGTGACTCTGTATGTTTCTTTTATCCTTTTTTGATGCTTCCTCTGTCAGTCAATATTTTGCCCGTAGAATCCTTCAATATTGAAAGTTGAGACTTAAATTTTTTTCGGTTTTTTCAACTTGAAAAATGCTTAGCATGTTCTTTCTTTTGGTTTTCTAACTCCTGATCTTTGTCCATTTCATTATAACACTTTGTCTCTTGAGCTGCCCTTTGAAATATCCTGTTCAGCTCTTTTACTTCATTATTTCTTCCTCTTGCTTTAGCTACTCTATATACAAAAGCAAGTTTCAGATTCCCTTCTGAGGTCCTTTTATCCCATTCTGTCTTTCTAATGACATTCTGTACTTGTATGATGTTTTTGATGTTCACAACTCTTAGGTCATTAATGTTCAATGTATGAAATCTAATCTATACATTATACATTTTTCTTCACTTAATTTCTTTCAAAACATAAGATAAAGTAAAAATAAGATCAATTAAATATTGACAGTATAATGCTTATTTTGTTGTTAGGTGCCATCGAGTCGGTACCAACTCATAGTGACCTTATCCACAGCCGAATGAAACACTGCCCAATCCTGGGCCAACCTCACTACTGTTGCCACACTTGAGTCCATCGATGCTGCCACTTGGCCAATCCATCTCATTGGGGGTTTTCCTCTTTTTGTCTGACCCTCCATCTTACCAAACATGATATCCTTTTCCAGTGACTGGTCCCTCCTGACAATATGTCTGAAGTAGGAGAGACGAAGTTTGGCCATCTTGGCCTCCAAGGAGCATAAGTTTGTTCTATATTATATTTTATTTGAATACTAATAAATTAAAGTTCCTGATGAATAGATACTATGTCTATAGTTTCTACATTTTTTAAAAATATAAAGCAGTATTAGTTTAAGAACAACAAAATATCCTTTAAAAACAGGGATTAACCATATAGTCAGGGCTTCACAAAGTCTTTCCAAAAATGGTATGTTTTCTTTGTTTTGGAATTTAAAAAAGTGTAAGTTTCTTTACCAGTTCTTCGCAGAATTGGTAAAAAGATGGTTAAGAAAATTTTACAGTGATAAAGTAATCTTTCTTGAGAGTAAGACCTCAAAATCGCGAGGACAGAAAAAGTAGAGTAGGTGGGAAATATCCTAATGTTTTAAGAAAGAATACTTATCATTTCAGGAAACATTTTTAGTGAAAGCATAATACGTGGAGATTCACAAAGTTAATACACTTAAACTAAGTGCCTAATTTATCAATCTATATCTTTAAAGGAGTCCTGGTGTGGTGTTGTGGGTTAATGCATCAGACTGCAAAGCCGTTTGAACTGCAAGGTCAGCTGTTCAAATTCACTAGCTGCTCCTCAGAAAGTCTATATAGGGTCACTATGGGTCAGGACCAACTCAATGGCACTTAACAACAATAAATATTTTTAAAAGGTGTATATATGCACATGTTAGCAAAAAAAAAAAAAGAATTTGAAAAATTGCTTTTTAAAAATAGAATACATTATGAAAATAGCAGATTATGTCCCTGTGGTTCAGTGAATTACTTGATATGGCTCTCTTCTAGACACAGTCTTTATAACTCCCACCAAATGTGGGACCATGCAAATTGAGTGTATGGGATTTTAACATGGATTAGTCAGTTTTCCCTTCCTGCTGGGTTTTAAATGAGTCATCTCAGAAGCAGGAAGCAGACATCTTACTACCATCAAGGTAGAATAGCCAGGAATGGAGTGTGTCCTTTGGACCCCAAGAAACCTGTGCATGGGACCACTTCCATCCAGGAGACTGAGAGCTGTGATACAAGAGAGCAGCTGAGGAGTGGTAGATGAGCAGCCGCAGAATCAAGAGTCAGAGTACGAGATAGAGCTGTGGGCTACTTGATCCACAGAGGGAGTAAAGTTGAGCACCTTCAGACAGGAGGTTTGCTTACTAAATGCGGTAACTCCAGGCACTTCATCGAGGGCATTAGGTTTGTTGACCCACAAAGCTATAGCTGAGTACCTTCTGGAGTGGAGGCTAAGGAGAAGTAAGTACCCTTTGGGCCTCCGTCAGCAGCTCTGAAAGAGCTTTGTAAGGTAACACTATCTAAGATGGACAGCACCCAAGGAGTCACAATGGTGAGAGGCCAAGCACAGAGTGAGGCCTGCCTGGGGCATGGCTGAGCAAAAGCGTTCCTGACTGTGTTCTGAGCGTTTCTGATCCTGAATTGTAACTTTCTAACTTCCCTATCCACCGCTCACCTGTCAAAGTGTCCTATTATGGTGGCTGTGTGTTTCTGTGATGCTGGAAGCTATTCCACTGGTATTTTGAATGCCTGCCGTGTCACCCATGGTGAACAGGTTTCAGCTAAGAGACTAGGAAGAAGGAGAGGCTGACCACTTATGAATATTTAGCCACTGAAAACCTTATTAATAGCAGTACCACCCTGTCAAATAGCACCAGAATATTGCATATGGAAACATGAATAGCCCCAGAATATTGCACACTTTATTATAATATTTGACTTGGTCTTCTCAAGTTGCCCTTTGAAATTTTCAGTTACACTCAGTTACCTCGTCATTTCTTGCATTTGCTAAAGCATCTCTACACTGGAGATCAAGATTCAGAATCTCTTCTTACATCTATTTTGGTTATTTTCTTCTTTCTTGTCTTTTTAATGACCTTTTGCTTTCTTCCTTTATGATGCTCTTGATGTCATCCCACAGTTCTTTTGGTTTTCACTCATTAGTATTTAACGCATCAAATTTGTTCTTGAGATGGTCTTTAAATTCAGTTGGGATATGTTCAAGGTCATATTTTGGCTCTCATGGACTTTAAACTTCCTTCAGCTTCAGCTTGAATTTGCATATGTGCAATTGATCACCACTCATGGAAGCAGCAGTCAAAAAAGCAAGTGACGTATTGCGTTAGGCAAATCTGCTGCACAAGGCCTTTTGAAAATGTTTGAGACTGAAGATGTCAGTTTGAGAACTAAAGTGCACTTTACTTAAGCCATGACATTTTCAGTAGCCTCATATGAAAGTGGAAGTTGGACAATGAATAAGGGAGATTGCAGAAAAATTAAAGCATTTGAGTTATGGCATTGGAGAGGAATATTAAACATATCATGGACTTTCAAAAGCACAAACAAAACTGTGTTGAAAAACGTACAACCAGAATGCTGATTGTTGTTGTTGTAAAAAAAACCAAGCACATGGCCATACTTTGTCTCTCGAACTTAAGGACATGTTCTTAGGAGGGATCATTCCCTGGAGAAGGACATCATGCTTGGTAAAGTGGAGGGTCAGTAACAAAGTAGGAGATCCCCAAGATTATGGATTGTCACAAAGGCAGCAGCAATGGGATCAAGCTTAACAACGATTGTGAGATGGCACAGGCCTGGGCAGTGTTTAGTCTGTTGTGTGTAAGGTCACTATGAGTCAGAGCCAACTCAATGGCACCTAAAAACAACAACAAGAGCTTCCCTAATAAACCCCATAATCATGAGTATCGTCTGTGAGTTCTGTGTTACCACTGCAATGAATTATTGAACCTAACAGATAGGTAGAGAGTGCCAAAGCAGGGAAAGCTGGTGTTAGAATTGGTAAAGAAATTGGAGCGTGGAGTCATGTGTTCTGAATGAAGTGAGTACTGAATGAAATTCAAGATACCTAAATATTTTCTGAGCTCTTATTTTTAGAGAACAAACCTAAAAGCAACCAACAAATATAGAGGTTCTCTTTCTAGTTCTGTATAAGTTATATAATATGAAGCCAAGCACTCTGGAAATTGCACTGAAACCTAAAACATACATTACTCTTTATGCATATAATTTAATAGATTCCATACCCTTTTATTAAGGTGGTACAGTGAAAGAGGGATGAAACATGTGTCTTCAATTACTATGAGTGGTTGGTGTAATAAGATATGTAGGGCAGAGTTAGGGCTTCAATTCTGAAAAGCACGATGACTTCTAGCATGGATTGTTCACCTTAATCTAAAAACCCAGTGATTTACTTAGCAGTTTCAGAGTATTGTTGTTAAATGCTGTTGAGTCGGTTCAGACTCACAGTGACCTTGTGTAGAATTTCTGAGGAGTGGCTGGTGACCACAACTTGCAGTTCAAAATGACCTCGTGATTATTTTGCACAGTGCCACACCAGGATTCCTAGCTTCAGAATACATAGCTTCAGAATACATACCTCTAAATAGTCTGCAGAGCAGTTGATGTGATTTTCTAATTCAAATGCCAGAAACGTGTAGTTCACAGTGTTGCCACTTGTTGCTTGGATGGTCCAGTTGCAACGTTGATTGGCATAATAAGGATATGGATAATGTATACTCTCCAAAATGCCGTAAGTTCCATTGACAATCACCACGTTCTCACATACTGAAAAAAAATAACCATAATTGTTAAAAACCACTAGATTCTTACACACGCACATATATACATATATATACATATATATACATATATACATATATATATATACACATATATATATATGTGTGTATATATATGTTGTTGTTGTTGTTAAGTACCGTCGAGTCAGTTCCGACCCATAGCGACCCTGTACAAGGTTTCCGAGGGTGTAAATCTTTACGGGAGTAGAAAGCCTCATCTTTCTCCCGCGGAGTGGCTGGTAGTTTCGAACCACTGACCTTAAGGTTCGCAGCCCGATTCGTAACCACTACGCTACCAGAGCTCCTTTATATCATATACATACATAACATAATTGCTTCAAGATATAAGTTGATTTTCATTTTTATAAAGGGAAAATCTGACTTAAATATATATTCCTTTATCTTTTAATTTCATTTTCCACAGTCTTTTTGAAGCTCCCTCATATATCTATACCTATCTGGAGTCCTGGTGTGGCGCTGTGGGCTAATTAATGTGCCAGACTGCAAAGCCATTTGAACTGCAAGGTCAGCAGCTCAAGCTTACCAGCTGCTCCTTGGAAACCCTACACAGGGTTGCTCTGGGTTGGAATCGACTTGATGGCATTTCACAACAAAATATATACATCCATCTGTCTATTGATTTATACACACACATATATATTGCTAAGTGCCATTGAGTCATTTCTGACTCATAAAGACCCTATATAAGATTTCTGAAGAGCAGCTGGTAAGCTTGAATTGCCGACCTTGCGGTTCAAACCGACCAGAGCCACACCAGGGCTACTCCGAGGGAGAAAGATGAGGCTTTCGGATCCTGCAAAGATTTAATCAGATCCCACAAAAATTTAAAGCGCTGGTAACTTATAAAGGGTCTCTATGAGTCAGAACCAACTCAACGGCACTTAACAACTATATATATATATATGATGTTTGTTAACAGAAATGTACTAAACATTCTGTGCTTCTGTTTTTCCAAGTTCAACATTTGCAAGGGCCAGAAATCCTGACATTTAAATTCACCAGTTTAAAAACACAAAGTACTATGTGAATGCAAAAAAATGAGTAACTGTGTAGTCATTTGTTAAACATTCAAAAGTCAGCATGAAATTCACAATAAAGTCTCCATTATTCCTCTCATTAGTCATCAGAAGATACCAAAATAACAGAGGTAGCATAAAGGATTTAAAGAAGAGAAGAAAACTTTAAATTCTAAAAAAGGCTTTAATCCAATGGCAGCATTTTCATGAGCTGAGTTTTCAACAAAACTGTTCACTACCCAAATCAAACCCACGCTAGTACTAGGAGTAAATGTCAAATTCAGTCAACCTTGCACAAAGCATATGCATGCCTTTGCTAATCTCTGTCATACTGTCATTGTGATGTGCATTGAGAACAAATGGGAAAATGACATTATATGGAAAGAATTATCTTTGAAAAACATGGTTCTTAGATGCATTTCTACTATAACGCTGCTTTCTGACTTGTGACTGGGAGGTCGCTAGTAAACTTTTGTTGGAAATTTATAAATTTGTGTTTCTTCAGAGCCTTTCTTTGCTGGAACAGGAGAGATGTTCAAACCATTGCTCTTAGAAAATCCGAATTTCATCCACAAAAGTTTTCTAAAGAATAAAATAAGTGTGCTGGTTTAGAAGCTGATGAGAAGTTATCCGCAAACAATATGTCTCTCAGCTGCTAGGGTCAAAAGAGAGCAGATGAAAATATATTCCAGTAAATTATCTGCAAGTCTCTAATTTCAAATGCCAACATTTACAGAAAATCTCACTGGTTAGGCATGGTTTTACTTTTAAGGATCTACATGTGCTAATACACTGCTTCAATGTTCTGAAATTTTGAGAGAAAAAAAATCTCACCAGACTAAAAAGAAAAGGAAGGGATCTTGAATAAGCAATGTAATTGTAACCAAAAACCATGTTAACAAAGCAGTAACAAAATTAGCAACACCACTGTATTGTTCAGCCAACCAGATGAAGTGCTAATAGAACTTTGGAAAACTTTTCATGCACTAATGATGGGCTTCAGAAGAACAAGAACTGTATGTTATTATTTAGACCCAATTTTCAAAATGATTTAGAATTCAGCCTGAATTCTACATGGGAATGAATGGGATCTTAGAATTTACATACAGTAAGGATTAAACATGTATATATCTTTAATTAAACCAAAGAGATACTGTATATCCAGAATAAAATTGTGTGACTGTCCAACTCCATTTTTAGAAAATTGAATTAAAATTATGAATACATTTAAATTTAATAGTACAAGGAACTGTACTTTGAAAAACACAAGTACAGTCTGTATTATATAAAATAAATTCAAGGAAGCCTTGTTTCCTTGAATTTCTATGTTAAAACTAACTGCAAAAAGTATTTCATTCCAGACTGAAAAGTGAACTTCAGAGATCGTCTAATTTAATTTCTTCATTGTAGACATATAACTACAGTAAGAACAAACCCCAGACCGCTGACTTTTTTATACAATGCTCCTTTAATTCCACCCTGTTGCCTTATTTAGAAGGAGCTCTGGTGGTGCTGTGGTATACTGGGGTGCTAACGGCAAGATCAGAAGTTCAAACTCATCAGCAGCTCTGCAGGAGAAAGATGACATTGTCTGCCCCTGTGAAGATGTCCAGTCTCAGAAATCCTATATAGGGTCACTAGGAGTCAGAACGACCTCCAGGGCAGTGGGTGGACCTCATGAGGAAAGCAGCTTTTAAAATTATATCTCTACAATGACCAGATTCCTCCACTGTAATTCTTCAGACCATAATTTCTCTTTAATAAAATTGAGGTACATTTTAGGGAACAGGACAAAAAAAATGGTGTAGGAGACTGCTATGTTCAGTGGAATAATGTCCAATTAGAAGACATAGGACAATGTTTGCCACAAATGGAAGACTACTGATAATTACCTTATTACATTAACCTTTAGCTGAATGGCAACTATCTCAGTATACCAAATATTCTTCTGTTTCTATAGCTTACAGATATTAATTACATTAAATTAAAGTAAATATATAAGCATTTTTCTGTAAAACAAAGTCAAATTTTTTCATATAAATAAGATAAAATTTGTTTCCATTGCTTAAACCAATGGATTATATTCATTTCAATTTGCTTTATCAAGAGTTTGAGGCTACTACAGGCACCGAGCAGCCAATACTTACTCTGTCTATAGCTGGCCAGGAAGCCACCTCCTTGTTGACCTTCATTTGTCCTCAGTTTTAAAGACATGCTGTCTCCAGTAGAACGGATACGAGGTGGTTTCTTATCCCCACAAAGCTGAGTTAGCAGATGAGAGTTGGTGCTTGGGCCATCATATACCTTTAAAACAAAACAAAACAAAACATTTTAAATGTCGACAAATGCAGCTACAGACATTATCTTAAGGACTCTGTAACACACACGATAAAGCAAAACAAAACACCAGTTGCTGTTGAATCAACTCTGACTCATGGTGACCCTACGTATGGGGTAGAACTGTGCTCCATAGGATTTTCAATGGCTAACTTTCAAAATACATAATGAGGTCTTTCTTCTGAAGTACATCTGCAAGGACTTTAACCACCAACTTTGGCTTAGTGGCCAATTACATTAAACCTTCCAGAGACTACAAATCCATGAGAAGTGGAACATAACTACATACAACAAAAGAAGAGTCCAGAAGTTTTTAGGTTTGTTTTTGTAAAATATTTTGTTTTAAGTATACAAGTAGACTTCACAAACTTCAAGGAAAAATAGAATTGAAAGAAAGTAGTTTCCCCATGAACTTTTGAAATGCCTTTGTGCTTAAATGTTTATTTACATTTAGTCATGGGTATGAGTTGGAATCGACTCGATGGTGCTTAACAAAAACAAGGTATAGCATAAGTGTGTGAACATGATTTAATAAATATTTTGAGGCCATAATAAATATCAATTGTCCCCTTGCTTTTGATTCCATAGTTTATCATTTATGACACATGAATACATTGTTTTTTCTTTGCTTTCCTTTTTTAAAAATTCACTGGGGAATTACTAATTTTGTAAAAAGTCCCATTTTGATGACTTCAGCTATCTTTTTAAATTTTCCAAATATAGTCAGTCCCCTGACTATGAATGAGCTCTGTTCCTAAATGTCTTTGAGCCAACAACAGGCTCAAAGCCTTTTCAATAATATAAAAGCTGCATGTGCAAAGCTAAAGAGGATAGAGAGAAACACTGTTAACTCTGGTATATGGATGGGATTATAATCAATGTAATGAAACAAGTTATATGAATGGTTGAATGTGAAACTGATGTTGCGCCCTGTAAACTTTCACTCAATCCACAATAAAAACCTTAAAATAAAAAAAAAAAAAAAAAAAGCTGCATGTGCAACAAATTAATTTATTGTGAATAGGGATTTGTTTGGAGTCCTAGTGTGGTGCTGTGAGTTAACACACCAGACTGAAGAGCCTTTTAAACTGCAAGGTCGGGGGTTCAAGCTCACCAGCTGCTCCTTAGAAGCCCTATATGGGGCCGCTGTGGGTTGGAACCGACTCAATGGCAACAACAATAACAGGGATTAGTTCAATCTTTTCAAAGTGAAGGCAAATGTACACAATGTTAAAGGGAAAGCAGGAGTTGTCGGTAAGTCAGATGTTTGTAACTTGGGGATTGCTTGTAGTCAAATTTCATAGTATATATACAAAGATGGGGCTGTCTGCTTCCACAAAGATGTGCAGTCTTGGAAATCCAGTGTCGGGTCACTATGAGTTGGGGTCAACTCAATGGCAGTGGGTTAGGATTCAAATAGAAATTATGTAGATAATAAGTATGTTAAATCAATAACCCCTTTGGGGATATTTTGACCATGTTCTCATCGTCCATATTCAAAATAATTTAAATAGTGTACTCATGCTACCTTGGAAGATTGTCATTTTCCTCAACTTTTCTTGGTTGTCTATTTTGTTTAAAATTTTTATGTAGATGTTCTGTTTAAATGTTCCCCTTTCCTGAGTCTCAGAAATAAAAATCAGCACATTCTGTGCATTAGGTACAATAGGAGCAGTCAATAACACAATGGAAACATTATGCTTACAGCTAGATAATCCAAAGTGCAGTTTGGATGATACTCCAAGTGGAAGTCTTTGAATTCCAGTTCAAACAGGCTTCCATGACTGGATTTCAACCACCAGTAACATTCAGAGCTGTGGTAATATGGCATCGGGTAGTTGGGAGACATGAAGATGCCGCTGGGAGTTGTCAGATTGCCACCACAACCTATAGAGGAAAGAGATAAAATGATACTTATCTTTTCCTTCCTATTAAAATGGAATCTTGTCAATGATACTGTGACTCTCTTTTTAAACCAAGTTGAAAAGTAAAGCTAAAGGAAGAAAATGAGTTTGCCTATACTCCCAAACTCACAGTATCCTGGGAACTAGAATGTTTACCCTTACATGTTCAGAAACATTTACAGTGTTGAAGTTTATTACAAATAGTGATGGCAAAACCAACTGGAAAAACAATGGACAAGTGATAGAGTATGACAACTGAAGAGTCAGGAAAACAAATCAGATCAGATGCTAAGCATATACAACTCTTTGTTAATTACCTGTTGCTGACCCATCCCAGTTAGCTGAGAATCCAGACCTTGAGTCAAATACGTCACTCTTAAACTTGAGCCATAGTTTGTTACTATGAGAGATGATTATTGGAGGCAGATTTGAGCCACAATATATTCCAAGGGATGGTGAATTTTCATAACCTCCGTCTCTGTAACACAACATATATGACAAATTACTAAGTTAAGGATAATATACTGTATAAACAATTGACAAAATTTTAATTTTAGTATTACAAATAGGTCAAGTTATGACAACAATATGCTCTCAAAATAATCTAAAGAATATACTCCAGTTTTTAATCTTTTACTTCATTAAAAAATTTAATAAAGAACAACCATCATCTATGGTTGGCATGACATTTTACAAGACCAAATGCAAATTAAGAAAATGTGTTTCATTTTCATCCTGTCAAATAAAAACCTTCTGCAAATGTGTCAAAGAACACAGAATAAAGAAGCTATACTTATTAACAGTATAAACAAATTTACTTAATTATAAAGAGTACCATAAACATTTTCCATTAGGAATTTTTCAAAATTTAATATTTTATAGGATAAAACTTATTTTAATTGTTCCTGTAGCACTTTCCTGACTTCTTCCTTATTTTTCTCAACTCCACTGTAAAGTGTTTTGATACATTTTATAATCATTTTTTGGAATTCCTTCTCAGGCATTTCCAAGGCCTGCCCTCCTTCCAGAATGGAGTACAGGTCTACTTCTAGGTCATTTGACTCAGACATTTTATCTTGTTTCTGGACATGTGCTGATATTGGTCATCTGTTTTTGCTTTTAGGACATATTTAGTGTTTAACTGTGGCCTTAATACTTAATTGAGTGTGTGTTTTGTTATTTTTTATGCTTTCTGATTGCCTCCAAGTAGATGTGATCAGGAGGTGGGCTTCCCTTTTCACTCTTCTTATTGCTTAACTCAGAGTAATTTTCTCAGGTGTTGTCTGCCTCCCTGGTGTATGGCAACTGGTATTGGTTCTTGCCTGGATTATAGGTTTTTTAATAGGGTGTGACTGTAGCTTGACTATATGGCAGCAATTGCTGACTCTTCTTGGGTAATATAGGGTGAGGAAGAGTCCCCCAAAGGTAAAAGGGAGAACAAAAAACAACAAAACAGGAACAGCAAAACAAAATGAAACAAAACAAAAACACCAAAAAACAAAACAAAACAAAAAACTAGATTGGATACTGTAGTCTATAATCACAGAAGAGGGAGAGGAGAGAGAGAGACGAGAAAAGAAAAAAAAATCTTTAGCTTAATATGAGTATGACTTTAATATCCTCTTACAGCTTCTTGCCTTCAAGACTGCCTGAGAGATTTCAAGATGCCACTGTTGGTTGTTATGCTGTACCTCAGGATTTAATTTTCGGTTGTTTTGTTTTTAAACTCTCTCTCCCTCCCCACACCCCTTGTTCTGGCCTTACCCTATTAATAAACACTTTAGGACTGGCTGTGGACGTTTTGAGCTGCCTGCCGTTTTAAATGCTGCGAGTATCTGTGCGCATGTGTGGCAGAAGAACCCACCAGTGGTGGGGGTGGGACTGTCTACTAGCTCAGGCACCCCCTCTAGTCACCAGAATGGAGGTGTGCAAACAGTGTGGGACCAATGAACAGATTAAAAAAAAAAAAAAAAAAATCAGAACAAAGCAAAAACCCACAAAGTGTATTGTCCACCTTTGCTCCTAGGTTCTTACGGCATTATTCTGTTGTGGGTCGGCTTGCTCCCCAGCTTGGTCTTGCTGTTTGGTCTCACCCAAGTTGTTGGCTCTGGGCCACTGAGCCCAGCAGTTTCTAAAGTACAAGAATTCTTCCTTCTGCTGCAAGTTCCACTAGCTATAAGCCTTCAAAGTTTTAAATATTCCTAGATACGTGGTTCGGAGTTTTGGAGCTCTTCCCTGAACCCACTTCACCTGGTATTCTATGGTATTGCTAACAGAGATCTTCACTGCACCTCTACCCTATCTGCCATCAAGCCCCGCGTCCAAAACATATTTAAAAATATTATAATATTCCAGATTTTTGGTTGTTATATGGGTGAATATTTTGATGTGTATATTTTCATCACAATATTTTTTTAATTTCAGAGTTTTGAAATACCAAATGCAGAGCAATTACATAAATACATGCTAAAATCAGTTTCCGTGTGTCCTGGTCTAATTCAACAGAATATAATGATCCCAAGAATTGATAGTATATAAATTAACTTCCTTTACCTTAAATACAACTATTTTAATACCTTTTTTTTTTTTTATGCCAAATAATGAAAGAAAAAAAAATTCACAAACTTAGCTTCTTCTCATTTGGACACAAAAGATCTTGGGGAACCCTTCATTTAAGATTGCTATCTGACCATCATTTTTGTGTTATAATTAGACTTAATGATCAAAGAACAACCTGAAATGTAAATTGACTTTACATAAAGAAAGCATAAATTCAATAATGCCAAGCATCTAATTTGAGTGTAGTAGATCCTTTGTTTACTCAGCCCAAATAAAATCTGTGGCTTGTTTTCAGTTATTCCCAATAGAAGACTCACTGCAAACAACCACTGAATTTATCTCCTGCAAGAAAGCACATACAGTGTCATCATCACCTAAAGGTCAGCAGTTCAAACCCACCAACCACTCTTTGGATACCCTACACAGGGTCCATATGAGTCAGAACTGACTCAAATGCACTTAACAACACTAACCACCCAAAGTACACAGCAGACAGTTTCACAGAATATTTCCATAATTTTTTCTTACTCTTCCTAGATGTGAATAAAAAAGGATTATGATGAAATAAATAAAGTTGCTTACCTGATTTCCACAAAATCTGCACAATGACCACTTGCTTCCTCCAAAGAGAAGTCTGTGAATTGCAATGAAATCTGTTGGCTGGTTCCCACCGTGATCCTATAAATGCATTCCCAGTTGTTGGGGTAATTATTGGGGAAGTTTGGAGAAGTGAGTGTTCCAGATTCAGTTGTATAGTCTTGTAAGCATGCTATGAAATAAGATAGACATCATCACAATAGAGAAATTAGAAAACATTGTGCTACATTGACAATATTCAGTAATATGTTGTTATTAAGTGCTGTCTAATTGGTTCTGACTCATAGCAACCTTGTATAGGGTTTCTAAGAGAGACTGGTGGGTTTGAACCACTAACTTCATGGTTAGCAGTCCAGTACTTATACTATAGCACAACACCAGGGCACCATGTATACCTTCAGTAATATGTACTTTATCAATTTCTGCCAATAATTTTCTGTGGGTCATTCTGGAGTATTCTAAGAATTATTTTATTTCAAAAAATGTCTTAAGATCTCAAAGGCAAATAATAATAATAAAGCAATGTAGAAGAATGTGTTACATAATTGGATCTTGTGTTATAAATTTTCTAATTCAGTCAAATTGGTCTAAGTCTTAAAAATTAGCCTCGAATACAGAAATTGATACACTTAGATCCTAGAATTGATTTAGTTGTGCTTCTTTTCACAACCTTCATTTAAAATGGTTATCACCAAAGCATGCATTTATAAGAAATAAGAAAGCATGTACCTCAGTCATGGGAGAAAAATAGGAGAAGAAAGTATGACATCAGAGTAATTTTGAACTCAAACCCTACTCAAACATTGTCAAAGTATGCAAACTTGGGCAAGTTAAATTTGCTTCCCTGAGCCTCAGTTTCCTTGTGTACAGGTGTGGTGTTATTGGTTAATGTGCCAGACTGCAAAGCCATTAGTACTGCAAGATCTGTGATTCAAGCTCACCAGTCGCTCCTTGGAAACCCTATACAGGATCACTATGGGTTGGAACCGACTCGACAGCACTTAACAACAACAACAATAACAGCAACAAAACAGAGACGGTAACGAGTTTTCATTAGAGACATAAGGGTTAGAGGTGATATAATGTGCTAAACAAATGGTAGTAATTATCACTGTTAAGGAGCTTTGGTAATGTAGTGGTTACGAGTTGGGCAGCTAACCTCAAGGTCAACGCTTTGAAACTACCAGTCTTCTCTTATAAAGATTTAAAGTTTCGGCAACCCAATGCAGGGTCCCTATGAGACAGAGCCAACACCAGGCACACAACCACCACCACCACTAGTTATCACTCTGATGGGAATAGTGGCTCCATACACTAAGCACTAGACTACAAACTACAAGGTCCTCATTCAAGCCTGCCAGCCACTCGCAGAAAGTGAGGCTTTCTGTTCCTGTGAAGATTCAAAGCCTCAGAAACAAAATAGAGGGTAGCTTTGAGTAGATACTGACTTGAGGGCACTTAACAATTATCACTATTTCAAATTAGAACCGGAAGGTGTAGGAAAATCATTAAGTAAATTCGAAAGAACCAATAGGATAATTCATGTAAGATATTTAGTTGGTAATTAGTTATTTTATGTGCTAAGTAAGTATTACCTATCCTGGCATGGCACTGTAGGATAAGTACTGGTCTGCTAACCACAAGGTCGGCAATTCAAACTCATCAGTCAATCAACCAATCAAAGTGAAGGCAGAATGGAAAGGAAAAGAAGGACAGAAGGAAAGGAGTTGCTGTTGTTTGTTGTTAAGTGCCTTCGAATCGGTTCTGACCCATAGCGACCCTGTACAGGGTTTCCGAGGGTGTAAATCCTTACGGGAGTAGAAAGCCTCATCTTTCTCCCACGGAGAGACTGGTAGTTTTGAACCGCTGACCTTAAGGTTCGCAGCCCAATTCGTAACCACTACGGCTACCAGAGCTCCTTGAAGGAAAGGAGAGAAAGACAATATATTAAGTACTTCCGATCCATAGCAGTTGCTACTATGATAAACATTGATGGTCCAACCAAATGGATATTAAATGAAAGTTCTGACCTAGTCTCCCTGAGCCCACAGACTGGACAGACTTATTCGCCCATATTCAGACTGCTTTAACCAGTACATCAAATATTTAGAGTAAATTATCTGTTCATGTCACCTCCTCTTAAAAAGGATAATGTTCTTTGCTTACTAACTCCCAGAGGTGAAATACAATTGTATTACATATTTCACTAATGTAGCTAGCAATTAGTCTACAGGAGATTTCATTAAATTAGGTTCTCACATTAAAGAATCTGATCAAAAGTCACTTTTGAGAGGGAATGACAAATACATTCCGGTACCTTGTCCATGTGTAAAGTGCTTATTCTGACACAATTGGTGAGACTTTGCTAATCCTTACTGAAGTTTGATCAGCATATTATGCTTTTTACCTCTTGTTGGAACAAAGGTGAACTACAGTTCTTGATGTGTCCAAATGATCTTCATATTGTTCACTTTGTCTGAAATACTTTACCTAGAAACCTCCCCTTTCCCTACTCACATTCTTTAACAATACAAAACACACACACACACACACACACACGCAAAAAAAAAAAAACCCAAAAAACTCTTACCCACCATTTAAAGATCACAGCTATCACTTCCTCTGTGAAACCTTATCCAACCATGCAGAATTAATTTCTCTGTGCTCAATAAAACTTTATGCCAATTGCAGTTTGAACTCCCAATATATTTTATTGCAATTGTTTTTATGTGAGTATATTTCTTGTAGTAGCCTTGGGATAGAGGATTTATTAACCATATTAACTGGCATTCAGCATTGAACCTGGGCCAGATCAGGTTCTAATAAACATTTAATAAAATGGTATTATGTAATGTATTGAAAACTGAGGAGGTGGGTGGACCGTATATCCTCCTATTATCTGTGTCAACACAGCTTCTCCCTTTCAGGCTGCCTTCCCCAAACTTCTTCTCACCTCATTCTCCCCACTCTTACTTTTCCATTCTCTCTCCTAGGTAGGCTTAGATTCCTTAATATTTTATAATGTGTCTTAAATCTAAATCAGAAATTCTTCTACTTCCAGTAATAAGTAAGTGAACTAACCCTCTCTTCATCACAACTACAAAACTCCAGTAAATACATGTGACTTTGGACAATAAACAGTGAAAGATTGTGATCTTTTACAGAGAGAAGCTCATGAATTGAGACATATGGTTCTCTACCTGGGGAGAAAATTCTGATCACAGAAGAAAACCACAGCCCAGGCAATTAATGAAATCCCTGTGGAGCTGAGGTAGCATAGGTCAGAGTTTAGGGTTGTCAAAGCAGTTGATGCTGAAGCATAAGTACTGGACTACAAGGTCAATTTGAACCAAAAGGTCAATGGTTCAAATCCACCAACAGCTCCTCAGAAACCCTATACTGGGTTACTATGAGTCAGAATCGACTCGACCACACTTAACAACAACACAAAGCATCTTGAATCTGCAGGGCAATTCTTAGGAGAGGAGTTAGGTGTAGAGACAAGAACCAAAAATCTGTGTAAACTCCCTTTGAGTTTTTGGTTTAGTCTGGGCAGGAGGTGAAACTTCACAAGCCATTCCAAAGAGCAGGTGCTCTAAGTTGGGGAACAAAATATACTGAAGGTTATAACATGACCAGGAGACCCTGGAGTTCTGTACCAACCAGAATGGGGATACCTATTGACATCCCTAGCATCAGAAATGTTACATCTTAGAAATGAGGACTATGCTAGTAAAGAGTATGTCCAAGTCTTAATAAGACCTGCAGGAGCAACAGAACTTTGAAGTTGATATCCACCAAGATAGTGGGGCATGAGAAATATCAAGGGATTTTCACAAATATCCAATAACATCATCACCAGCAAAGCTATACAAATACAAGGTTATAAGCCAGATAGTGCGCTCCCTACAAGCTTCAGAGGAAGAGAATCTAGAGTCTCCACAACATGTAATTTGTCACAGTTGGTTAAAAAATTAGAAATTACAATTAATATAAAGAAAAATATGAATTATAGTTTAGAAAAGTGTTCAATACTAAAAAAAAAAAAAATGTGGTCATAGTCAAGAAAAAAAAGTGATCTGTGGCTCCAATATGATCCAGATGTTGTCTTTAATAGCCAAGAACTTAAAAACAGCTATTAGAAATATGAGAAGACATTAATATGGGTTCAGTGAGTAAACTGAGAATCTTAACAGGAAAAAGGAAAAACGATTAAAAATAATTATATGGATAGACTTAAATGAATATTAACTGAAATTTAAAAAATCATGAAAGAATTAACATTAAACCAGAGATAAAAGAATAAAAGGTCAATACATTTGAAGGCAGTAATACACTCAGGCCATCTCTCCCCACCAGTAGCTACCCAGCACACCAGTTATTCAATCTCATAAACAAAAAGGAAACATATAGAAAAATAAACAAAGCATCAGAAACCTGTGGGAGTGGACCTCACATGTAATTAGAGACCCCGGAAGAAAGGAGAATAAGGATGGGTCAGAAAACCCCCCAAAAGGGTGGAAATAAGATGGCATCCCAACGGTGCTCTCTGCCCAATCCCTGTATAGCAGAGACCTAAAGAACTGAGTGAAAGGCATACAGATGACAATCCTGGAACTCTGAGCATCAAATTCTTTGGCTTGGACACCAGTTATCTAGAGGGAGACAGAACAAAAACAGTGATGGAAGTGAGAGATGGAGCAGGGCCCCATGAGACATCCAGCCATTTGAAGACACAGAAGGCAACACACACAGATAAGGAAACACCAACTTCATGGAATTCCTATTGGTACAGAGACATAGTTGACAGATTATGAGTGAAACAAGGTGAGTAGATTGTGAACTGGATCTGGGAGAAGAAAGTACAGCATGGCAGGTGGGAATTCTAGTGGTATGGGTGACCATAGAGCAAGGAGGGAGCCAGTGAAAGAGGATGGAACAACTCCCTATAGAGATCCCTCATATTTGGGTGGAGGGCTTGCACAGAAGGGATGGTCTGTGCAGTGGCAGCTGTGGATCCTGACTTAGGGTTTCCCTCTCCCATGATTGAGTCTGAGCAGGACCTGGAGAATTGGCTGCATCTACTTAAAAGACGCTCTGGTAGCATCGTGGTTACAAATCGGGCTGCTAACCTCAAGTTCCATGGGAGAAAGAGGATGGCAGTTCAAAACT